AATGGTGCAAGGAGGCCTGATAAGAGTGTCAAATGTAGGACATTTGTGCAGAGGCTCAGGAGCTCAGCTGTTTGGCAACATTCCCTTGAGGCCATCACTCCTCTAAGGACAGACCCTAGTTAACCAATGGGGTGAAGGACTGGGGTGGGATCTTCACAGAAGGGGTCTGTTTCCCTGTTCTAGGGCCTATGCTTGGATTTGCCATGACTTTCCAGTCTATATTTGTATAGAGCATGATCTGGCCTGATGCTGCAAGGGCCCTGTTTCCAGCTGAGTGGTTCTTGAGGTACTGCTAATGATTGTGGTGACTCAGGACAGCTGGATCCGACTGTATCCCCTGGCACACACACAGTGCATCACGCTGCTGCTGGAGACTGCTCTCTGCCCTGCTGGGTTAACGACATATCTTGGATTACAGCAAGAGGAACAGCTTGAAATAGGAGACTCCTGATGATGTGGAAATGCCAGCTGTGCAAGGAGCACAGTTATGGAAGCAGCCATATGCTTTCATGCTCCCTTTTTACTCTTCCAGATCATGCAGCTGATTTCTGGCACTCCTAATACATCAAACAAGTGCATAAACAATAAGACAATAAAGTATTGAACTGCCAGATAATTGTAATTGCCACCCAAATACCTGGGCATATGAATCATACAGTAACAAAATGTAGAGATTAATTTACCTAATTAATTTACCCAATGTTTAGGAGCACTCTAGTTCATCTACATGGCAGGCTAGTCAACTCACAATCTAACAGTAAGACTCATCTTTTTCCTGGTCAAAAATGCCTTCTTATTTATGTTTCTTGCAGAAAAACAGTAAAGCCCCAATTCAGTTCCTTCCCTTTCATCTATGTGGGGACTGACAGCTTGTTCTTTGCTGTAACAATTAAGAACATTTTCTGCTGTTCAAAGTGAGAGATTTGATTTCACAGAATAGAAAACTCTAACTAGTTCCTGGGAATCAGGAGCATTAAAGACATTTTGACAGTCAGTGGCCAAAATCAAAATATGGTTTCTGATGTGACTAAAAGGCAGCCACAAAAAGGCTTGACAATAAGGCTGCTAAAATCCGAGATGAGCAGAGGGATTCAGGCTAACCAGCACTGCAAGTGCATCAGCATAAACCTACTTTTCTCAACAGACCAGATGCACATCCACACTCCTGTCTGTCTCCTACAAACACACACACACACACACACACACACACCCCCCCCACGTGGCAGGACAAAATAGGAATTTTCCTGTTTGGAGCAATGACAAGTGATAGAATTGAACACCTCACTAGGTTTCAATGGCAACTGTACAGCCCTTCCATAGAACTAAATTCAGCCCCATGGTCAACACATGCACTGCCACCAAATACAACACATTTCTGAAGAGTATCGAGCTGGCCTGAAAGGGTCAGCAAGATACAAGACAAGCACATTCCTGAGAGGGAATGGCTTGTGAAAGAGCCAACCTTTCTCTTTGAATCTCTGTTAATGATAAGTAAAACTTGGCTGCTCAACAATTGAGCCTTCCTAGCTGCAACAAGAATAATTAACTAAGATAATGCACATGGCCAGAAGTCCGTGTTCTAAGAGAGAAACAAGTTAAGCACATGCATGATCAAAGTGTACTTGAAACAGTAGTTATAGAGATTTATGGTATTTTGTAGATGCAGAGATTTTTTGTATCTTGGGAAAACAATATCTAGCCTATGTATATAAGGAGATGCTCAAACAATAAACTTTGCTACATGCCACCAGAGCTGTAGTCCGTCCGTCTGCTTCCTTCAGGTGTCCTTGTGAGCTGGTCTCCGTCACATTTCTACTTAAGAGGCCTAATTTACTGTAGATAGCAGGTGCTGAGCTTCACTGCCAGCCAGCAGGGATTGTGATGCCTCTGTTTAAGCAGAGAGGAGTATGCCTAACATGCTCCTATCACAGGCCAATACCCATCACTGGGAATCACTACAAACAGGCAGGTCTGACATCCTGGCACACTGGACTTATCACCTGTGGTGATGCATCCTGCATACCTGGAGAGGGCTTGGCCTCCTGGCCAGTAAATTGCCCAGAATGGGTCCCCATAAGGCCACAGGTCAGGTTTTTCTCTCCAGAACCTGCAGCGAGGGGTGAGGAGGCGCAGCCGAATCTCCGGTGTCAGGTGGCCACTGTTGGTGACCTCCGTGTTCTCCTCCAAAAATGCTTTCACCTCGGGGTCCAGAGACTTGCCAGTGCTCCAATGGCAGCAGCGTTTCCAGCGCAGAGAGAGGCCTCCCCTCCTGCTCCTCCAGGCCTTGGCTAAGGTGCTCTGCCTGCACAAGGGGAGGAGTTGCTTCCAGCCACAAAAGGCCATGCTTCCCCAGGGAATCAAACCCTCCCCAGGAGCGCTTGGAGCACAGCTTATCTGAAGTAGGTGATGGGGCAGACAGCTTGAAGGGAACTCACAAGATGTTGCTTTGCATGGTGATGGATAACAATTCCTGAAATGAGAAAAACAGTATGTAAGTTATGTGTTTCAGTCAGTTCAAGGCTTTGCACCACCAGGGACTTTAGGAAGGGGAGCTAACTATGCTGTTGTATGACCATAAAAAATAGAAAAAAATCAAAACCCAAAGAACTGATCATAACCAGAGCACTCCCAGTTCACTGCATTTCAATCTGTTTTAAAGGATCAGTTTTATAGTGCAAGTCTCATGGGGATGCTGTCAGCTGTAGAGAAAACAGACCTCCATCACTGTAGCCCCGTGAGAAACTACATAAAAGTACTTCAAGCTGTCTAAAGAGAGAAACTGGGTACAACACATTTAAATTAATTTTTTAAAAGGCAAGACATTCAGACTGGATGGGCTTTTCACACCACTCAGGGCCAGTTTTCAGGTCACAAGCAGTGATAGAGAATGAAAGATTGGTATGTCAGAGTTTGGACTCATTTAAGAACGAAGAGAATGGAGAGTGGAGAGCCACAGCCCTCAGCTGAGAGGTGAAGGAAGAGCCTCTCAGCACTTCTTCACCATACTCTCCTCACCCACCATCTCCTGGGCCTTTCCTATGCTGATCCTGTGAGTACACTGACCAGGCAGAGGCCTGAAGAGAGAGCAACTGTTTTCCAGCCTTCCTGCTCAGATATCATTCATCCATTCTTTAATCTGTATCTTTTTTTTCCTTCCTCACCTTGCTCTCTAATTTCTTTTCAGTAACTCAGACCTCTTTGCTCCAGGGCACAGCCTCTGAACCTCCCCTGAACTAATGACCAGACAAGAATTTTAGGCCTCTGCTTCCACCACAGCAATACTGCAAGTAGGAAAAGACACAAGAGAAACTACACTCGCTGTTTTGTGATTGTTTTCTCTCTCCTGCATTGGTTTTTACAAAGCAGCAGAACAATGCATGAAGAGAATCAACTTCAGCCCACCCCAACGAATTTTTAACAACAGAAAAATCGTGGACAACTTCACCATGTAGAGCTATGCAGGTTGTTGACTCGATAAAGGGACAACAGGAAAAATATGCCGATAAAACAGTCTTAACACCTTGTATTTCATTAATTCACTTTTTATTTGCCTGTATCTTTAGTAAAAGTTCATATGTCTTTAGTAAAAGTTCGTATGTCTTTAGTAAAAGTTCAAAATGGCATTTTTGTTGTATGTTGGGCTCTGCATCATCTGCCTTTAGTCTTATTGCTTACTAAACATTAAGCTGTGAACTTTCCTCCCATAACACTTGGCTATTTAGGCTGATGGTCCTGTTAAGTCTTTGTTTAAATCTTGGCTAAAGATTTTGTGATTTTATTACAAATAAATACACATTTATTTGCATTTTTCCACACTGGAGAACGCCATTCAGCAGAATCCATGCAGTTAATGAATGTAATTAGCAAACACCTTCCTTCTTGAAGGCAGAGATAAATAATCCTCCTCTGCCTAAGGGAAGCATGCAATCAATCAGAGAGAAAAATCCTGCCAGCTCATGCTGCACGCTGCTTTTTCCCTGCAAATCAGCAGGACCGAGACAGGGTAGAGTTTATTTCACACTACCTGTCACTGGCTGAAATTAATCCTCCGTGGGGAAATACCAAACACCAAACTGAACTGAAACACAGGAATATGCCAGGATGACATCCCTGTGTGTTTGATGCTCCTGGCCTGCTCATCTTACGGGGAATAAAACCCACGGGCAAGCAGAACATGGATAAGAGGATGACAAAACCTAGCGAAAATGGAAAAAAAAAAAAAAGGCCAACCCACACAAAAAAAAAAAAAAAAAAAAATCCAAGTCGGCTAGACCTACCCACCCCCACCGAGTCATCCGGAGCTGTTCCTGCTCCCCGGCTAGCAGCGCCCCGGGAGGG